ACTAACTTGTGATGTCAGGAAGATAAATACAAAACTTCTGTTGGGAGTAACTCTTATTAGAGATGAAACAAGCCCTAGAAATCCAGATGCTGTTATCATTAGTGGTACCTGTAGGCAAATTACTTTAGAAGTAAAAAACAATGGAAAAGAAATAAAGAACATAAATGACACACAAGAAGAATTGCTTTTAAGAAGGATGTTATTGACAGTTTTTCTATAAGGCATTTGTAGTTCTTTAAAGTTAATGGACTAATTAAAAACAGAGAAATATGGTAGCAAGAGGAAATAAAAAGACTGGATGTGGAAAATATTAGATATCCCTGGATAGTCTTAGAACCGTTAAAGAGCCTCAAAAATAAAAAAGAAGGAAAAAAATCATACCTCAATTTATTTTCTTGGATTTCAACAAAAAGTCTTACTGAGTTTCATTTGGAAAGGACACAAAAGACTAAATTTCTACCTTCTCTTCACTATTTTTTTGAACTGTCTGCCTTTACTGCAGACTTGGCCTTTAGGAACATTGGATAAGCAGAGTTTATATACTCGAATATGCTAATGCTCTTCTCAATTCCTAGGCCACAAGGCTGCATTACAGAGAACATTGTTTATAACAGTGGCCTTCAGCTACTTCCAGTAATTAAACCAAAAGGAGCCTGTATCTTAAATAATTTGGTATTAGTAATGGGAGAGGATGTGCAGATAACCCATTTGGCCCTTGAAATAATCTCTAGTCACCCACATGTATGTTCTACTTTCTTTGGGAATTCTCTAACTTTTAAATCCACTGTGGCCACGTAGTGGATAGGCAGGAAGGAACCATGAGAGGTTATTTAGTCACTCAGTCAGTCAGTAAGTCAATCAGTTAACAAGCACTTATTGAGTGCCATAAGGTATATAGCTTGGTATATAGCTTGGTTCTGAACAGGATTCTATATCCCTGCCTTGAGCAATTCTGCTCATACACCATAACAGGTACATAAGGTTCAGCTGGCACCATCTTCTGATTTTACTTGTTTAATAGCTTATTAGTCAAATGGACTAAACAAAAATATCAGCACTGTGTAATACAACTCTGTATGCAGTATGTATATTTGTGTATCTATATATGCGTATGTATAAAACTTGGCGTCTCTTCCAGGAGATATGCCAAGATATATTCACAGCTTTATATACACATTTAATTTAGGTATTTCTGTGCATATGGCAGTCAGGGGAATATATCTCATCAGTAGAATGTGTTTTATTCCAGGTGCTTTTTTATCATATTTTCTCACCATCACTAATAAAAAATCACCATAGTTGTTCTACTTGGACAGTTTGTTTGGTCTTTAATCCCAAATCTCATTGAAAGAAGGAACACAAGCATTTTATGTTTTCTAGAATGCGACAAAGATGTTGGCATATCAGCCACTCATGAGACGTTGTAGACAGAAAGTCCATCTTAACTCAAAACAAACAATAAACCAAATGTATTCTGAACAGAGGTTTCCAAGATACTTTATTTTTGATGACTTGCACTTCTATCTTCTAGATTTACCTTCCAATATTCACCTCTGTCTAGCTGTTCAATGCTATATCTCCTCTTGCCTTTCCATATAAAAGCTGAAAGTTTCCTTGCCCTGTCCAACTTGAGAGCACACCGTTTGAATTCTGATCTTTCTTGTAATTCTTCTTTCACGGTTTTTTTCACTCAGTCTTAGAATCATCAGTATCAGGTATACTCAGTGATTACACATGTATGTTTCTCTTTTTCCAGTAGCCATGTGTTCCCCAAAGTCTGCTATGTTTTAAAGTACCTGCAAAAGTCACACTTTCTACCGCAACCTTCCCTCCAAATGAGTTTCCCCATAGTTGGGTTTCTTTATCTTTTATTCCTATTCTTAATGGCTTCCCCTTCTTTCCGTTCTCCCAAGCAAATTTTTAAATGATGATAAAAATTAACTCTCGTTCAGAGGCTCCTGGTATAAAGTTTTCTTTGACTTTTTGGTTCTACTTTGAAGCAATCTGACTTGTTCAGTTTAATTTTCCAAGCTCTCACACCAGTGAGACTGCTCCTCAACTCCCATGAGCTTAGTAAAAGCATATCCATTCTCTACACCTTTGTTCATATTTCGCCACATGAAGAGGCCATTGCTCCTCCTGTTCTTATTCTAGGTGCAGACAACCTCACCCATCCAGGAAGGGGTAATGAGGACTCTCACTTGCCTTAACTTTGCATCTGATAATTCTCATTGTCCAATGGCATTCCCTTTGTCTTTAAATAATTTTAAAGTACAAAGCAGAAATCAAAAAGGAAAGCTAATCTCCTGAAATAAATATTGTAGAAGAGGAAGAGTATGTTATATTGTACATGCTCCTATAAACATCTTGAAGACATAAATTGTTCTGTAGGTTCTTGTTTTATTACCTAGTTCAAAACATGACAGCTCAACAAATATTAAGCTACTGTGCCAGTAATTAACTGAGTGCTGTGGTGGGAGAAAGTTGCTACTTGAAGACTACTTATGAAGAAAGCATTTTAAATAAACTTTGCTGCTCTGGTGTAATTCATACTAAGTAAGGACAGTGCAGAAATTTATTGGTAAGGGGAAATCAACTGGGAAATATTAGAGAATCTGTGAGACAACAAGGAGTAGCCCAGGCTTCAGAGTCAGAATAATGAGTTCAAATTCTGTCCGCTTCTTCTATTACTACTTCTGTAATCTTTACTGGACAAGGAACTTAATCTTTGTCTCCCTAATCCCTAGGACTTCATATAAAAAAGGGAAATAACTGAACATCAAATGTTAATACAGTTAAAGCATCTAGCTGAATATGTAGGAATCCCTATGTGATGCCAACAGTTAATGCACTTGACAACTAACTGAAAGGTTAGAGGTTCAAATCCACCCAGAGGTGCCTCAGAAGAAAGACCTGGCAATCTATTTACAAAAAAAATCGGCCATTGGAAACCCTATGGAGTACTGTTCTACTCTGACACAGATAGGGGTGCCATGAGTTGAAATCAACTCTACAGCAACTGGTTCTGTTTTCTTTGTTGTTGTTGTTGTTTTCTTAGCAGACTCCTTGACTCAGAGAAACCATCAAATAAGTGGCGGCTCTTAAAGGAAAAGGAATAATGTTTGAAAATGTAAGATAAATGATTTTTTCTTTTCTGAGAGTTGATGAGTAAGAGAAGTTAGACTGAATACTTTTATAAAGAAAAATAAAAGAAGTAGGAAAATACTTTTTTAGAATTGTGGCGACACCCTCCCCAGTTTCGTTCTCTGAAGAGGCAGAACACTGTCAGCCTCATGGAAAAAGGCAAAGCAAAGGATCTGGGAAAGCAGCATAAACCTCTTTAGCTGACTGACAGTGTTAGGCGGAAAATAAAGACCTTCTTTTAATGAATTTTAGCAATCTAAGCAGGGTGATTGTGTGTGGCTGAGACCAAGACCAGTCAGTACCAAAGCTGAGAGAAAAGTGATTGGGCCTTTAACCCCCAACTCACCTCAGATACATGGCTGTCAAAGTCTGAGAAACACTTTAGCTCCAAGTTGAGATGAGATTGGGGAAGCTAAAAGAAAATTCTACCAAGGTCTGTGTATAAGATTAGAGTGAAGATTCCTCAATACAGAAAAAGATACAAGTAGCTCCCCAGCTTAGATGTACTCAAGTTACAATGAACCGAACTTACTACTGTTTTTTTTTTTTTACATCTTATCATTAATAATTTACACTATATTAATGTTGCAGCACATAACTTGCTGATGTTATCATTCTCAGATGTTCACTCTAAGATGTTCAAAGATTGGATTTATGAAGATATTCATAATAAAAGGCAAGAATAATGAAAACTAAAAAAAAAGAGGTATTCGACTTAACTTCAGAACCAACTTACGGGCATAGTCATCAGAATAGACTGGCACCCCATCGCAAATCGGGACTACCTGTATTTATCAAGGAAAAAGGTTTCAAATTTACCTAAGAGTTGACTTTAAAGTTTTATTATTAAATGAATTGACTGGTTAGTACTGTTAAAATCTTAACTTTTTTTTAAGATATATTTTTGGAAGACAAATAAGCGGCCGATTAGGTTTCAATACAGTGGTCATTGGCAGAAAGTTACAGAGGATGCTGTAAAAATACTCGCTGTTTAGAAAAAGCTGTCCATTGGCTATAGTGTATCTAATTCACTGTCTTCTTTTTTGGTAAGGAAGCTGAATTTGCAAAATTAAATTGATTATGGAAAAGCAAATGTAACAATCCCGACTAATACTCTGAAGCAGAGGTGTGTGTTAAAATGCTTGAAATATGATGTTCATCCATTGAACATAAAAAATGATTTTACATCTTGAAGGTTATCTTCTTGGTCCTATATTCAGCCTTCTTTGCTATAGAATAGGGTCTGCCATAATAAACCGTTTCATATTTAGGTTCCCAATAAGATTCTGCTGCCTACTTTAATATTTGTAAACTTAGATGTGCTTCAGCGTGGGTTCTGTATGCTAGCCTTGTAGCACCAAATTGCATGTTGTCATCAACGGTTGGTTGGTTGCCTGTCTGGTTGGTTTGTTTGTTCGCTTTACTTTGTACCATAGAACATTTAAAACCAATATAAAAATGAAGAGAACAGTAAAACAAACCTTCATGTACCCATTTAAAAAAAAAAGTTGCCGTCAAGTCAATTTCAACTCATGGCAACCCCATATGTTACCGCTCCATAGAGTTTTCTTGGCTGTAATCTTTACAGAATCAGAATGCCAGGCCTTTCTTCTGTGGTGCCAGTGGATGAGTTTGAACTGCAAACCTTTAAGTTAGTAGTCCTATACAAACTGTTTGTGCCACCCAGGGACCTTCATGTACCTATTACTCACCATCAAAAATGATCAATTTATCACTAATCTAGTTTCATCTATACCCCCACCTACTCCCAACTTCCTTTACTTCCAAAGCAAAATGAAGACACTTATACTTCATCTGTAAATATTTCAGTATTAATATCTCCAAAAGATAGGTAACTTTTAAACACAACTACGGCAGAACATGTACTAAAATTGGAACATCACGGAGAAGATTAGCCCCTGCGCAAGGATGACATGCAAATTCATGAAGCGTTCCGTATTTTTAACTCTATGGGGCAGTTCTACTCTATCCTATAGGGTCATTATGAGTGGGAATCCATTCGATGACAATGGGAAAGAAAAAACAATAACAATATCTAAAAAAAAAATAACTTAACAGTCTTGTCTTGTTCTTTTAATAAGCCCTGCAGTGACTGGTACTGAGCATTTCACATAGGAGATGCCTAATCTATGTCTGTCGCCGTTTTATTACTTCCCACTCTAGCAAATCTAGCCACTCTTTCCTCTGTAATTTTTCTAACCTGTCAAATTCCAGTAGAGTCTGAAAAATAAGCACCTCATTTGTTCCTCTGAACTATGGCTGGGGAACTGAGGACTGTTAAACTCAGTCTCCCATCCCATCTGATTTGGCCAGACTGTGTGAAGATACGGTCAGCTGGACATCCCTAAATATGTTCCCATTGTGCTGTTTGGTCCCCCTAGAAAGATGCTGATTTTTTTAATCAATAATATTTCTAAAGCATCAAATACAGTACTTTGTAGAAAGAAAGTGCCCAGTAAAGGTCATGAACTGACCGATAATTTAGTGAGACGGTTTAATATACCCTTTAAAAAAATTATATATATGCATATATAGGCTCTGAAGTCAAACAAATTTGGTTTTGGATTATTGCCTTGCCATTTACTACCTGTGCATCTTGCCAGTGGTGTACTGGTAAATGTTTAATAACTTGCTCTCAGAGGGTGGAAGGCAGGAACCCTGATTTGTGGTATTTGCCCATTTCCGTGGTGTAAATGCTCCCACCAAAGCAGATTTCAAGTTACCACCTTGAAGTCTCTGAGTGCAGGAGCTGGGAAGAGAAGCATGCCTGACTCTATCAAGCTAGTCCTAGCCAGCTCCAGCCACCACTGGTTCTTGAGCAAGTTATACAAATTCTCTCATCCCTAGATTTATCGATTATAAAGTAGAGAAAAATACTACTACTTGCCTCATTGTATTATTGAGAAGATTAAATGAAATACCACTTGCAAAACCTTCATTACAGTGCCTGTAACTGATGTTTATTATGCATTCAAACAATGTTAGTTTTTTCTATGATTAAGTGGTATGAAGGCCAAATGTCACCAAAGATAGGTTTTTTTTTAAAAAAAAAAAAACCCTTTAAAAGAATTTTTGACTCTCCCTATATATTTCTATTAAGTAGAACTCTTGAATGATATCTGCAATATTTCTAAACATTAAGGCAAGAAAGTAACAGCACCATGGAAATACCTAGAAAGAGTACAAACATGACTATATTAAGTATAGTGGCATTAAAAATGAATTCAACCACAACAGTTCATGGTTAAAGGGGATTTAAATCTCAGGGTAAAGCCACATTTCATTCCGATTTCTACATCCTCAGCAATTCTGGCTTTAATGTACTACAATTATTTTTTCTTTCCCTTCTTTGCTCTCAGCCACAGCCTGAATGTAGTAGCACTGGCAGTACAACTGAGGAGGCACAACAATTTGTTCCAATTTGAAACCTAAAATTATGTATATGATCATTTTGACTAAAAAGTACAACCCATTGTTTTCAAAATATATATAAAGTAGATATTTTAAGAATACAAAATTGACTTTGTTGTTAATCTATGAGACATCGAAATTTGGATTTGTTAATTTTCTTTTAAAGTCCTTGTCTCTGAAGGTGATAATTTTAAGTCCTTACTGTTTACTGGAAGTTTCACTCTGGTGGTTTATGCTCACCCTGCTCCAAATCATGGTCTTAAGACCTTCCTTCCCTCTGCTCTGACCCAGGGTCTTGCTCTGCTTCATGTCTCACATTTAATCCCCCTTCTCAGAAGCTCAGAGAATGATCTCAGAAATGACCCAAGGATGGGCTTGATCCTCTTTCTGAACCCAGGTCTCCCACATGTCAGGCAGGAGGGGGCAATCATGCATCAATCCTTCTGTACAGCCTGCTTTTGTTAGCTCTGCTGCGCAGTAGAGTCTAAGACCAGGACAATTCTATTTTATTTACTGGTGACAGTAGCTTGATCAATAGATACGGCTAGAAAGAATGATGCCAACACTTTACCTATGAGACTAAAGGTTTAGAAGAAAAGCATATTTAGTGAATTAAAAGGAACACTTATCAAATGAGGGTTAATCCTGAAACATAGCCCACTATTTAGAGTTAAGGGAGAGAATGTCTTAGAAATGTAACTCACTTACACAGGGACAGATTACCCATGGGTTTATTTACTAATTTGTAGTGCACAATTTCACCTGTTTTCACCACATTAAGGATGTGGTGAAATCCATGTGAAATTGTGCACTACAGATTAGTAAATCAACACAATTAAGCCCATGTGTACCTTACTGGTTAATCTGCCCTGCTTTTACATGTTTCCTAGAGACTCTTAATGCTATAAAATAATACCTTGTGAAAAGGGATTTCATTTGGTCCCCTCAAGGGAAAAAAAAAAAAAATCCTTTCTAAAAATAGTTTCATCTAACCATGGATGGTGTGTTTATGAAGGCTTAGCCTATGTAACAACGTTCTCAAGTTGTTTCATAAAGAACAAGTTCACCAGCTAAAGAAAAGAGCCCAAGGCTGGCAGTGCAAGAAATCCAAACCCCAAGGGGCACTAGACAAGGTGCCCTTTATCTAAAAAATATAGGCTCAGTGACGCTTCTCCAGTGTCACCTGCTTTTTACTGTCTCCCCAGGACTCCCTCAAATCTCAGAGGGACAGGAACACTTTTCTAGGATGCCTCTAATTACGGTCTGAAGAAACAATTTGTGCAGCCTGCTTTTGTTATTTCAGTGCTTTCTGTTGTCAAGAAAGAAAGTACATCCATCACTTTTATTAACCTCAGAAAGCCAAGCCAGGGTTGTCTGAAGCCACACAACCATGCTACCTTTCATATCATTTAGGATTTTTAAAGTCAGATCTGAAAATCCGGCATCCAAATATCAATATTTGAACATTCCATTTCCAGACTCAACATAAATCTCCCGTATCCCTGCTTAGCAAGTGAGCTAAGTCTTGGATTGCCTTTCAGCAAGGAGAGAACAGCATCAGGACACCTCAAGCCTACCTTAATTTCACTTTATGCAGAGACAGGTCCTCCTCTGAAAGCACCTTGCGGACCGGAGGGCATGCGTCTTGATCATTGCTGAAATGTGTATCTCCTTACAGACAGACAAAGGAGTTGGTTTTTATTCCCAAGCCCTTTGCTCCTTAAATAAAGTTATTGGCTGCCTAATGAATGTTAGCTGCAGTACTCCCTGTGGTCAGCGGAGCTGTTGTTTAATGAATTGCTTAATGTGCTTGATTACTGTTACAATGTTGAATGAGGAAAAGGCAAGAGAGATTTGAAAGATTCACTGGAGGATATGATGAAAATGAATTGGATCAATAGGAACTTTTCGCTCATCTCTCAGCAGCACATTATGGGCTATATTGTTAGAGTTGGGGGATAATGCAATTTTGTGGCTTGTTGTCTTTTTATAATTCACAAATATAAATCTCTCTCGACAGTGAGTTTTAGGGCTGGCCTTCCTGGAGTTATAAATGATCCCCAGACTCTAGCCCTGGTTACTTACACGGACAGATAAATTAATTAGGAAAACTTTTATGCCAATTACTTTATGCCCTTGGCTTTCATATGTTTCTGGAGAGCAGCAGCTAATTAAAGATATGATTCATAATTACTAGTCAATCGAGTAGTTGAGTAATGGAATCAGGAACTGTTCCAAAGAAAATTATCCATCACATCACTACTAATTGTTACATAATACATAAGGATGTAGAAGTCAAATAAAAAAACTGCTTTGAAAGGTTCATTCGATTTTTTTAATTTAACTATTATAAACATGAAATGAGCTTTTGCCATTCTGAAGCACGTAATAGTAGTTGTTGTTGTTTTTAATCTTGTTTTTTAAGGAAATGCATCCACTGTACAAATTCAAAAAACAAATGTCCAAGTGACCTCAAGGTTTAATAATCAACGAGTTCTTTTTCTTTCCTATGAAAAGTTCAAACTGAAGGAGGTAAAAGTCCAAATGTGTTGTCCTTTCTTCTAGCATCACTCATAAGATTTGCTGACACCCAGTGAGCCCAAAGGGGAGGGGCTCTTAAGGACCACCCATCAGCATGCATTCGATTAGAAACGTTCCCAGGCTCAGAAAGCCGAAGAATGTTAATACTTGGAGACTACTGAAATCTCCCCAAAGGGCCAGTTGTCAAAGATTGTGTATATCCCAGATCTATCCTAGCTTAGGGTAATTGTGGGCCTTTGTTGGAAGGAAACAGGACCAGAAAGGTGGAGATAATCTCATACACAGCAGAACTTTGTGAGGAAGGACTGAGGGGAGGGCCCTCACAATGAACTGTGGCTTGTTGCATCCAGTAGAATTGGAGCCTCCCATCTATGAGCATTCTATCAGCAAGTAGCTCCTAATTTACATAAGCCTGCCTTCCATACACCTTGGGTGGCTGCCTCAGAAAATCTCCTTCCACTCTTCCTCCCCCTAAGATTCCCCTGCCTTCCTCCTTCTTCCTTTCTAATCCCTCATTTCAGCCCCAGTGACAACCGAGGGTGGCATTTGTAGTGATGAAACAGAAGGTGGATAAGGAAGACTGAGGGAGGAGGTCACTTCTCTCATCTGCCCGTGCTCAATCACAATCTTGTTGGAGAACCCTACTCCCAGTCCCATCTCCTCCCCTCTTATTGAAAGTCTAAAGCACAAGTAAGTATATACTGTTTTCATCTATTCAAGAAACATTTATTGCCAGGTACAGTGCAAGGTCGAGGAGAGAAAGACGAGAGGTATAATCACCAGTATTGAGATTCTCCCAGAGCAGCAAATGTAAGACGTGCATTGATGGGGACCTGGGATTCAGGGAGAGAAGAGGACGAAACAGAGTTCCAGGCTGGAAAAGACTTCAGAGAAATGATTCTGCCAGCGAGAGGGGAATAAATAAATCGAAGGCTCCTCGGAGAAGGCTGACTTTATTTGAATTTGAATGTTGGACCAATACATGGAAGCG